ACTGATGTTACTGGCTGCCTGCTGAGCTTGCTGTGGCCATGCCAGGGCTGAGGTGTTCAGGAGAAGCACTTGACTTGATAGAAGAGGGAATTGGATCGTTAAAAAGGAGGTTAGAAAGGAGGGGGGAAGGAACCCTAAACAATCCCCTTCCCAACAGCAATGCAGAGGGAAGGGATGGGGGGAGAGCATCAAGTAGTTAAACCTCTAGCAACAAGTGCCTGCTTGGGAGGAATGCTGCCTTGCTGCTAGCATTTCTATAATTTGGACTAATCAGTTTGAAGGCTGAAAAATTGATGTGCTTTCCCCTCACCTTCTTTTTTAGTGTGCTTAAAGATAAATGCATTTGGTGCCAAAGATGCCTGCAAAATGTACAAGGGGTTTCTAGCAAAGCATCTCCTCTCTTTTTTTGGGGGGGGGGATTCATTGAAAAATCATGAGCCTCTTGCAGAAAGTGTTGGGTTTGGGAGCAGGGATTTTCCCTTAATGAAAAACTGTCATTTGCAGAAGGGGGGAAAATGGTCTTGAATCCTTTTTCAGTGGGCTCTAAGTGCAGTGAGCTGCGGTTCCTCTTTTGTTCATTGCCCATGGTGTCCTCAAACCCAACAGGGCACCTTCGCCGCTGCCCATGTTCTGGGGGTGCTGGCAGGTGCCATTCATGCATCTTTCTGGAGCAAGGCTGGACCATCCAGGCTCTTTATTGCTTTTGCATGTGGCAGTGCTTTCTGCACCTCCAGCTTGCTTGAGGGCATCACATTCTGCAGCACTGATGCTTCTAATCCATCTTCTCATCATCTGCTGTGACAGTGTTGTGGTTTAAGCCCAGTTAGTAACTCAGAACCACTCAGTCTTTTGCTCACTCCTCTTTTCTCCCTCCCCGTCCAGGCGGGATGGGGAGGAGAATCAAAAGAATGTAAATCCCACAGCTTGAGATAAGAACAGCTCAGTAACTAAAGTATAATATAACACTACTACTACTAGTAGTAACAGAAATAACAAGGGGAGAGAATATAAAACTAAAAAGGGAAAGGAAAAGAAAACAACAAACACAAGTGATGCACAATACTCACCATCCGCCAACCGATGCCCAGCCTGACCCGAGCAGCAATTTGGGCCTTCCAGGTGACTCCTCTCAGTTTATATACTGGGCATGATGTGCTGTGGTATGGAATACCCCTTTGGCTAGTTCAGGTCAGGTGTCCTGTTTCTGTTTTCTCTCTGCTTCTCGTACCCCTCCTCACTGGCAGAGCAGGAGAGACTGAAAAGTCCTTGATTGGAGTAAACATTACTTAGCAACAATTAAAAACATCGGTGTGTTATCACTATTGTTCTTGGACTAAAGCCAAAACACAGCACTGCACCAGCTACTAGGAAGGGAGGAAAAAATAACCAGGACAGCCAGTGTAACCACAGGTGTGCTTAAACACACTGGGTTTGCCCTGCAAAGGCATTGGACCCAAAAGGGAACCCGAAACAAGCATGAATTTGGGAATACCCGGCTAATGTGGTTAGCTTTGCCCCAGCAAAGATATCAGAGGCATGGGAACAATGAGGCGGTGCAAGCTCAGTTTGCTGTGGTTGAAGGAGCCGCGGTGGGATACCAGCGTGGGGAGGAGAAGAGCTCACTGAATGGTGAACTGAAATCTCTAATTCTTTTCAGAAGCTCCTATTTTAAAACCTGATAAGGAAAGCTGCCACTCCACATCCCCAGGGAGCTTTAGAGCAAGTTAATATAGGGGAGATGTCTCCTTTCTTTCTTTCTTCTTTTTTTTCTTTCTGACTAAAGCTTCCCTGAGAGAGTAATTAAAAAGTGCAAGTTCCAGGTGCTAACCGAGAGGATTTAGTTTGAAGAATGAAATGCTTGGATGCCCCTGCACTTGCGACCCTTCTGCAGAGCATCTGGTCTGTTAACAGCTGGCTTGCCTTGGGTAGGAGCAGGGGTGGAGGATCAGAGAGATCCCATTTACCCCCAGCTCTTTCTATGTCCCCTGGCACCCAAAATATAAGGGTGCAGGACACAGGCTGTTAAGACAGGAGAGTTACCAGCAGCAAAAAGCCTCGCAGTGCTGCTGTGTGCTGCTACTGCTGAGTTTTGTGCCTCATCATTTCCAAACACGCCCCTAGTGCTTAAACGTGAGGAAATGGATAGTTAAGCACATCATTAATCTTATCCAGCCCACATAATCAACAATCAATTAATTCTTCTCTGGGCTGAAGAGATGCAGATTGCACTGCAGCCTGGGCACTGGCAGGAGGATCACCTTTCTGCAGGGAAAGGCAAGGCAGAGCCTCATCCCGTGGTTGTCCGAGGTGCTAAAGTGGATCCAGACCTTGACAGCTCTGGGAAACTTTCTTGCAGCAGCCCTTAAATCAAAGCAAACATTGTGCCTGCCAATAGCGGGGTGATTTATTGCTCCTTCCTGGGCTTGAGCCCTCTACCCGAGCCTTGCGCTCAGACTGTGCATATACCATCTGAAGGGTTATGGATGCCATGCAACATGGATCTCTGAATCCCATCATGGCATAGCGGGGGCTTGGGAGTTCCAGCTTCATCTTCATTGTGAGGTTCATGGTTTAGCTGCCTCAGAAAGAGGGAAGACACAGGCAATAGTGAGAGCAGAGGGCTGCAGCTTGCAGCAGGTTGGGAGGAGGGAGAAGGCATCCGCCTCCCCTGACACTGCGGGAGATTTTAGGAAAGCACAGTGTAATTACAGGAGAGGAAAAGTTAATTGTTATCATTACCAGTGAAGAGCCACGTGCTTGCAGATTATAGGAATTTATGAATAAGCAAAGTGATAAAAGAAACCTGAGGATGCTGGGTTGCGGAGTGTACTTTGTTTGGGTATTGTGACAGAGCATCACTTGGATTAGTTGTAATTAAAAATTAACAAACCCCTTCAACCGACCCACTGAAATGCCTCTGTGCTTAAAACTATGATGTGTTTGTAGTGCTGCAATCCTCTCATCTCCCTCCCTCGCTTTCCTGTCTCCTCCTATCAAAATACAGGTGGCTGTTCCTTGGTACCACTGCACTCTCCTCCAAGAGCCCAGCATGTTTCAGGCATGTTTCTGAACATGACCTCCAGCTCTAGAGCCCGCAAGTCACCCACTGCGCATCTCATGGATGCTAACACTTGCTGGCAGGAGTGCAATGCTGCAGGGATGTCTTGAGGAGGTGCTGGTGGGAAGGGAGAGGTGGAGAGGTGGAGATCGCCTCGAAGTCTTGGTGTCCTCGTGTGGTTTCGTCTCCTGCTTTGTGTGTCTGGTGTAACTCTGTGCTTCCTCATACTGTTATGGGGCATAGGGCTGTGTGTAGGGCTCAGGGAGGGGTCTGCATCTGGCTGCCTTCTGGTCTGGCATCCTGAAGTTCCTCCTCAAGCCCTCATATGCCCTTCCAGTGTCCTGCAATGAGTGGTAACCCCGCGTGTGTAGCTGTCTATCTGTAGGAGGTGGTGGTTTATGGCCCTAAGAGCTTCTGTAAGATGCCATACGTGTAGGATGCCTGCAGTAGGATGCAGAGGACTTGGCAGTGGTGGGGAGGAGGAAGGGCAGCGTGAAATGGTGGCTGGTCCCTCTGGGATCCCATGTCCCTGCTCAGCTGTTAGTGCTATTGAAAGAAACGGTTCATTGCAGCCAGTTGTGTGCCTTAGGCAGGGGAATAAATCCCCTGAATAATAAAATTGTAAAATATTGTTTTGATTTATCCTTTTTTATCATCTTTTAATATCTGGAAAGACTGTGTGAGCAAGAGGCCTTCATGGGTTTTGAATGACAGGTTAAAGGGCTCCAATAAAGATTAGATGGTCCACTATCTCCCAAGGAAATTGCATCAAAGTGGTTACTCCTGCTCGCTCCTATTAATTTCCTCTTCACGGCTGCTAGGAGATGCCTCATATCCTGATGCAGCAGACAGGGGCTAAGAGGCACTTTCCATTATCTCAATCATCGCCGTGTTTATGAGACACTTAGGGTGTTTCTCTGCAGAGCCATGCCTTGGAGGTGAGAGCATCACAGGGGCAGAGCCAGGAGCCAAACGGAGGTGGGACCATGCTGTGTGTAAGGCCAGGCACAGTCTCTCTGCAGATGGGTGGTGGATCTGGTTTGGAGGTCTGATCCCTCAAGTACATGTGCCGAAATACAGATGATGCCTTCTGCAGCCATCTGTTTCATAGGGGTCAATAAAACCTGAGGGTTTTATTAGATGTCAAGGACGGATGAGCATCCATTCATAAGCAACTAGTTGGTGAGCACTGGTGGGGTGGGGCAGGGATGGGGGATCCCATCTTTGTTGCTCCACCTTCACCCTCTAACTGCAGAGCAGCAAGGCAGTTGATGAATGAAATCTCTCCCCATCACTGACTAAAGCCTTACTGTAACTGGAACATCTTCTTGTTTATGGATTAGTTTTCATTTCCTGCTTGAATTAACTTGGAGGCCAAAGGCCAGGAGAGTTATTATCCCCAGCCCTGGGCTGCAGGACATTAATGGGGATGGATTTGTAAGACACTGGCATGGGCTTCCCATCAACTTCTTAATTAAATATTCAGGTTTTGCATGGAAAAAGAGTTGTGAGAACTGAACCATGCCCTTGGAGTGGTAGAAAGGACATTTCAGATCAGCAGAAGGGGAATACTGTCCTGCCTCTCCATGTCTGTGTCCCCATGGGTGCTGCTGGTGCAGGGAGTCCTGCCATCCCTATGCCTGGGTATGAGCAGTGGGGAGTAAAGCAGCTTCTACAGCCCCCTTGCTCTGCCTGGCTAATAACTGTATGATTGCTGTGTGATTTCAGTGTTTTCCTGGTGGCCCTAAAATAATTTATGGCCAGTGTGGAAAGTTCTGGCCATTCAGGCTTCAATAGGAAGATGCTACCCTGTTTAGCTCTGGTACAGGCGCAAAGCTTTTCTATGTCTGTCTTTCTGCCCTGTTTCAAGGACAGGACCTGCTCTCACCTCTGCTCTGGCATGGTTCGGCACCCAACTGCTTTCCTCTCCTTTCTCTTGCAGCCTGCCCAGCGGGGACCTTCAAGGCCAGCCAGGGTGCGGGGGTCTGTGTGCCATGCCCCTCCAACAGACGCTCCACCGCCGAGGCCTCGCCGGTCTGCACGTGCCGCAACGGCTACTACCGGGCAGACTTTGACCCACCGGCAGCTGCCTGCACTAGTGAGTAATAGATCAGGGTTGGGAGGGGGGGGGGCTGCAGGGCCTCACACTTCTCTGCTGCTGGGGATAACATCTCAACCCAGGAGCTTTTTCATCTTCTTTTCTCCCCCTGTCCTGCTGTGGAGGAGAACGAGATTGTGGCTGGGTGGGCATTTGGTTGCCAACTGAGATCAATCCACCATGAGGATTTAGCTTTGTAGAGGGCTGGGGTACCCATAGTGAACACCCATCCCTTTCCACATGGCGTGGCATTGCCTCCACATGCTATAGAAATGCTCCTTGCACCAACATGCAGCCCTTCGCTGCCATACCAGCATAAGCAAAAGTTGTATCACCCTTTGCTCTGCTTGCCTGGGACACCACCATGGCACACACCAAACGATGAGTGATGGGACAGCTCTGCAACCTGCCTCTCTGGCAGCCATGTGAATTTATACTTCACCCTGCAGTGGTGGTGATGGCACAGAGATAGTTCGCAGGATAAATTAGAATTTAAAGTTACCTGCTGTTGCTGTCTTGTTCATAGCATTGCAGATGGAGTAATTTTTTTTTTTATAGGGGGAAAGGGTGCCTTAAGCATTGGTGTTCAGCATGGTGTTGCATGCAATGCATTGCTGCTTAGGTGTCTGCCTCAACTGCCTGGGATGGCAGCAGCCTCCTCAAGTCTGTCTCTTGGTGAGAAAACAGCCCAGGAGAGAAAAAAGAGCCGCTGTGCTCTTAAGCCCACTGAGAACATGAGTCTCAGCCTCAATTCCCACTCCCAATGGGGGTTTTGAGTCAGCCTGTCAGGGAGCTTTAACATAAGGACGCTGTGGACCCTTGGTGCTGGGGAGTGCCTGACATGCAGGTTGGAAGCGAGGAACGGATTTGCATGCTTTGCTGGATCACTCGAGCTGTCAGACCAGAGGTACTCAGCAGGTAGCACAACTGCAGATAATCTATATATCTTTATTATGTCTCGTTACACAGCTGATTTACAGTATTGCTGCTCTATACGAATACAGTATAAAAAAGTCTATTTGCTGATTTTCATTTCTTCTCGTCGATGCTTAATTTTACAAGGCTCTATCTGAGGTGCCAGCTGTTCACCGATGAAGTTTCTCTGTGTTAGAGGAGTAAATAACACCATGGAGCTGCAGGCATATCCCTTGACTAGAGACCTTCCCAAGGGCAATGCCTGCGAGTGTGGTTCATGCACTGTACCCGTGGCAGAGGAGGGAAGGGGCTGCAGTTAAAGGGGAGGAATCTGGGGAGGCAGCGCTTTGCTGCTGGGCCAGAGAAGAAAGAGTTTCCTCCCTTTTTATGGAGGAAAGAAAACTTGTTTGCTTAAGGTACAGAGGGGGATTGGATTAAGGGAACAGAGGAAGAGGGCAGTGCAGGCAGGGAGCTGGGCAGGAGTGGCTCCCTGGGCCACCCATGGTCCCCCAGGCTGACTGGGAGCAGTGACTAGAGCAGGGTATCAGCCGAGGTCATCCTACATAGATGACCTCTCCATCCATCCCACCAGCCGTGTCACCCCCACACTGATGAAGCTGCCTCTGCCCAGCCCATCCCCATGCACTAATAGGGCTAATTTATCTGCAGGCACTAAAGATGTTCCCCAGCACACACGCGTGGAGGGCTCCCCTGGGATGGTTTTCCTCAAGACAGAGCATGCTTCGTGCTCTTAACCTTTCTTCATGGGTCAAGTCATCCATCATTTTTATTGCTCCCTGCATCATGGCAAAGTCCTTTTTCTTCCTTGGAAGTGTAGCACTGAGCTGAACCAGCACGAGTAATTAATTGCTTTCCTTATTTGATGTAACCCAGCAGCTGGATTTTGTGGTTTTGGATGCAGAGCTGTCATGGCTAATGTCAGATCCTTCCCCATACCTGGGCAGATGTATGTTTGTACCTCAATGTTGCTCTCCTGCCTGGATTCCTCCTGAATTGCTCTTTATGGACTCTGGCCCTGTTTTGGCAGCACTTGCAGTTGGAGCTACGTTCAATTCCCATCCTCTGAAGCGTTTACAATGGCTCCCAGCGGATTTGATCAATGCAATTTTGATCTCTTGTCCAACATCCAAGCTGCTTGCAAACCAGTGAGCGGTGTCGCCTCCTCCATGCTGTTAAATATCTGGGCTCCCAATTTGAGATATCGATCCATTAATAACCACTTTCCATTTTTGACTCTCTTTGCCCACTGCTCCTCCATTTATCCGCGGTGCTGGCTAAGTGGAGTTTCTCTCGCTGTGATAATCTGTTTGAGTTGCTTCTCCACATGAGCACTGGAGCTATCTCAACATCTCATTTTAACGATCAGGAGTCCATCTTGCAGATGGATGTCTGCGCTCCACATAGGGGATTTTTTGAGACTAAGTAGGTTTGTGGCATGGGAGTCCTCATCTGAACTGTGAAACCCCTCTCTGTGGCTTGTGGTGTGGGTGGTCAGCGTTGCCAGTGGGGAGAACCTGACCCTGACTTAGGTAAAGCCATGGAGACCAAATCCCTCTCGAGGCAGGTAGTGATGGAGTAGACGAGTAGACAGAGCCCTGCTGGAGCCCTCAGGGTTCCCACTGAGCCCCACTAGGGCTGAGTGTAACATTTTGGACAAGGGCCTGTCTCAACTGCTCTTCTTTCCCACAGGCGTTCCGTCTGGTCCCCGCAACGTCATCTCCATTGTCAACGAGACGTCCATCATCCTGGAGTGGCACCCACCACGGGAGACAGGGGGTCGGGACGATGTCACCTACAACATCGTCTGCAAGAAGTGCCGGTCGGACCGACGCGCCTGCTCCCGCTGCGATGACAACGTGGACTTTGTCCCCAGGCAGCTGGGGCTGACGGAGACCCGGGTCTTCATCAGCAACCTGTGGGCACACACACCCTACACCTTCGAGATCCAGGCTGTCAATGGGGTTTCCAACAAGAGCCCCTTCCCACAGCAGCACGTCTCTGTCAACATCACCACCAATCAAGCTGGTGAGTCCTGGGTCGATGCGGTGCTGGGGGGTTTTAGCTGTACCCTACCGGTTGCAAGCTCTATGTGGAAGGAAGCTCCACATCTGAAGGATAAAAATCTCCTTGTGTGTGAGTGGTGTGTGATGGATGTGGTAAACCTGCAGCCAGGCCTCGGTGGGCTGGGGAGAAAGGCCAGGAAAAGAGGGAGGGAAAGGACTGAGGAGGTGGAGGGGATGGGAAAAGTGAGAACTGGGTTTTGGGAGGAAGGGGAGTGAGGACCAATACCTGTTTTTTAGCCACCTCTAGATTGCTTGGGGGTGAAATAGCATCACCATTTCCCCCCTTTTCCCAGGCAGAAGCAGGGAAATGGGGTAAATCCAGCCTTGAAATGCAGCCTGGTTGCATTATGGTATGGAAGGAGCAGCATCCCAGGGCTGAGTTCAGGCTGTGTCTCCTCTGGCACATCCCTCTCCCATAATTTTCCTCTTGTCCTCTTTTCCAGGCTCCCCTTTCCCTCCCTCTTTCTGATCAGGTGTCAGGAGCTGAACAACAGCTCTGAGCCAAACTGGGAAGCCAGCAGGGTGTGGGTGCAGATGACAAGGGGGAAACCGGTCCCGGGCTTCAGTGAGGAGCACAGGGAGTGGAGGGGAAGGAAACCCATCTGCTTTGGGCAGAGAAAGGGGATTGTAATTGCTTTGTGCTGAGAGTGTCATGTAGGCAGCCTTTGCCAGGGTGGTCCCTTGGGAAAGTGCAGCAGAAAAACCTGGCATAAATATTTTAGTCTCCTGGCTCCCGGCAGTACAAATCTACACTTGTGCCTGGCTGGCATCACTGTCTCCTGAACCATGTGCAGTCAAGCCTGCCTCTCATTTCCTGGCCTTTCTTTTTCCAGGATGGGATTTTTGGGGTGTTTCTTTGCTCATATCCCACTCCAAGGCTCCCTGGAAGCTGGGAACAGCCACACCATCCATGGCTGTTTGTCTTGCAAAGTATGAATATTAACATGGAAATGCTCCCAGTGCCACAGGATGGGCTGTGGGGTAACATGATGGAAATGCATCAGACATGTCAAGGGCAAGATCCGTGCTGGCCATCTAAAATCCTTTGGCTTGCAGTGAGCTTTTCCAGCTGCAGGGCTGGATCCAGGCTGGTTAGCGCATCTGACCCTGCAGGGCTGCTCCCAGCCCCATTTGCCTCTACACCGCTATCCACGCTAACGGGGTGGGGAATGCAGCAATTAACAGCAATCAAACAAAGTGTTTAATTTCAGCCCATGAACATCTTCTTGGAATGGATGTGGAGAGATTAAAAAAAACCCCAACCAACCAGGATTAAATATGCCAGGTGAACAAAGGCGGTGCCAAGCTATCGACATCTCCCAGTGTGGCCATGTGGAGTGGAGCTCCCATCTCACCCAGATTCCCTTCATGGCACAATCCTATACTCCAAGCTGGTTGTGCCAAGCTGAACTCTGCCCTGGTTGTGGTAGGGAGGCTTTTTGATAGGATTAAGTACAGGATCAGGGCCATATTTGCTGGCTGACTCTTTCGGGTATAGCTTGGAGGGCAAAAAGCCTTTGGAAAAGTGGCTCCTGGCTAATTTAGTAGCTTGGTGTCCTTGATGGTGGAAGGATGTTATTGCTGCCGCTGGGATGCTCAGCTCTGGGATACTCGGCTCCAGGGATACTTGGCTGTGGGAGTGCTTGGCTGAAGGGATGGTCAGGTGCAGATTAGCCCTGGGATTGCTCCAGTGCAAGCAGAGAGCAGGGCAGGGTGCAGGAGCAGTGGGGACAATGTGCCTGGCAGCTATTTTGGGAAACCTGCTCACTTAGGTCTGGTGCATGAACTGAAATACTATGGGCTGTCTTTCAGAGAACGTGGTGCATGGCATAGCTGGTGGGACTGGTAAGAAACACAGGGCAGGGAGGGGAGGGGGTCAGACAAACCATGTCAGGCTCACACTTGATGCTGACTTCATGCTTGGCCAGTGCTGAGCATCTTGCTTTCTCCGGGGGATACTGCAACAAGATGACCAGGAGCCCTGTGGTTTGCTGCCCGGGAGGTCTTGGTAGCTGCAGGGATGGAGGTGCTGCCTTTTGAACACCTTTGCAGCATGGCCCTGGGGCGTGTGAGGAGCTGAAGGATGGTTTGAGAGTGTTTTGCAAGTGTTGGGGTTCAGAAAAAGAATTTCTGGGAGAGACACATTTGGGTGCTAAGGATGAGCATCCCCTGAGAGCTTTAAGAGCAGACCCAGCAGCTCCTCTGAGACAGGGCTGAACCAAAACTGTGCCACAGGCTCCAGCATCCTGGGGTCCCCTCACTGGGCTGGGGTGTCCCTGCCCTGGTTTCCTATCACTGTCCTCAAGGTTGGCAGATTTTTGCTCCTACATCCTACTACTGGCAGCATGTGAGGTCACAGCTGTAGCACAGGCTCCTGCAGAGCTGGGTGCTGGCTCCCTCTGAGAGGCTGTTACAGCAAAAGATGGCAAGCAGAGCTGGAGAACGTCATTGAGTCTTGGTTTGTCCCCGCTGGGGAGAGCTTTGCTGTCTTTGCCCCACTGTGGGAGACATTCTTGGAGCAAGCAATCCCAGAGAGAAGGAGCACTGAGGATTTCTAAGCTCCTAATTAAAAAGAGTCGTTGGTTTAAATACCAGAATTCCCTTGCCAGCTTGCTGCTCTGGTTCCGCATAAGCTGCTGAGATGCTGCTGTTCCCTCTGCTAATGTGTGAGCTTGTCCCCTGTGGTGAACAAGCACAGGCATGGAATATTTGGGATGCTCTGTGTGTCCAGGGAATTTTCTCCCTCCCCAGGGCCATTGGTCCTACCCCTCTCTGTTAAGTTTTCCTCCCTCCCTGCTTCCTTGGCAGCACCCTCCACCGTCCCCATCATGCACCAGGTGAGTGCCACAATGAGGAGCATCACACTTTCGTGGCCTCAGCCCGAGCAGCCCAACGGCATCATCCTGGACTATGAGATCCGCTACTATGAGAAGCTGAGCCGCATCTGCACGCCCGATGTCAGCAACACCGTGGGCTCCAGGCCAGCAGCGGTAAGCTCGGGTGGATACCTTGTGGTGGAGTGTGGGCTGGGGGCATGTGGAGCTTTGTACCGCGCTGCTGTGGAGGCTGCTTAGGTCCTGAGCTTACTGGGAGATGGGGAACATCAATGAGCCCTGAATCAGGCGCTCTGCTGGCAAGAGTCAGGGTGGTGGGATGGGTGGTGGGACAGGCACCAGGTTACCTGCATTGGCTCAGGAGGGTGGGAATGATGTGCAGCCAGAGGAAGGGAAGAGATGTGGCCACAAATGCTAGTTCTTCTTCTGTGGCAGTGTTTTCTCTAGCACATCAGTGCCTGTTGCTGCCTTGGCTCTGGTATCTGCTACAGTGAGCAGTGACTTGGAGCGTGGGGCCAGTGTCAGGAGGAAAGCAGGGGACGCCAAGCACCAGGGAGGGTTATCAGGGTTGTCCCCGTTTTGGGTCACTGCCTCCCGCTGCATCCTTTCACTGGCAGCTGTCCTTCCCCGCAGGGGACATGCTCTCGACCCTTGCGGTGAACCATGCCACGGCCAAGCTGTTCATCCCTCCTGTGTCTTGCCAGCTTGAACAAATTCCTCTAAATGTGAATAATTAGGTGATCTCACCAGAGCCCCTTTACAGCAGAACACTGGGGAACATTGCAGAAAATGAGATTTGAGACGCATGAGGTTTCCAGCGAGGTTTAGCACAAGAACCCTTGCTAGCAAAGCAGGGACCATAGGGGCTGGGGTTCTCATAAGAGGCCAGTTGCCCTTGAACCTGCTTGAGCAGGGTCTCGAATGGCACGTTATGGTGTTTCCGTGACTGTGTGACATTTCTGCAATGTGCAGGGACATCAGTGGTTCAGAGAGGAGGAATTTGCTGCTCATGAGTGTTTTTGCTCTGGATGCTTTTATTGTTTCCCCCCACTGCTCCATGCTCTTTGCTATGGTGTGACCAGGGGGACTGCCTGCGGGAACCTTTCCAGATCCTTGGAAGCCAGGCAGAGCCTGTAGGTCCTATTTCTGTGGGATTCTCTGTATCAAGAGCAACCAGGAAGGTTTGAGCCACCTTGCCCAGGCTCCAGTGCTTTCCCTCCTGGAGCAGAACCAAGGCCACTGCTTTATTCCCCTGAAGATAAAACTCATCTGTGCCACCAATGGGGATGGGTGGGCTGCAGGGCGCATCGTCCCCCTGCTGTTCCCCATCCCTGTCACATCTGACCATCTCTCTCTGCCGTGCCTGCAGGACCACAACGAGTACAACTCCTCCATGGCCCGCAGCCAGACCAACACAGCCAGGATCGAGGGGCTGCGACCCGGGATGGTGTACGTGGTGCAGGTGCGAGCCCGCACTGTAGCCGGCTACGGCAAATACAGTGGGAAGATGTGCTTCCAGACGCTGACGGATGGTGAGTCCAGGAGGGGGGCACAGGGAGGCGAAGGGGGTGGTTGTTTTGTTCCAGTGACAGCTTCAAGCTCTAATTGGATTAAACGAACTTGCCTCTGCAAAGCTCGCTCCCAGCGGGCAACGTGGCAAAAGCCAGGTGATTTACAGCAGTGTCTTATTAATCGCCAGCTGGAGGAGTAATCTGCTTTGAATCTCTCAGGTCTCTTTTTCCCCCTGCTATTTAGCTGCGGTTCTGTCTTTCCTGCCTCCAGCTGTGGTGGCAGAGACCTCCTGTCACCAGCTGTGAGCCTGACACTGTGGGGTGGGGAGGAGAGGAGGGTTGTAGACCCCTGGAGGAAGGACTCTGGGATGCTCTCGTGGGATGCTTAGGATTGCATGTGAGCCATCAGGACAAAGCTGGAAAGGTCAGAGCCATCACTGAAAGGTGATTTGCCACCCTGAGGTGGTGTGTTGAAGGAAAAGGGCCAGCTCATGACCTTTGTGGCCTCTTCTGGCCTCCTTGCCAGACTCATGCTGTCGTTCTTCTGGCCCCAGTCCTTCCCTGCACCCACAAATACTAGGTTCCTTTAGAGACTAATAACCCGTGGGATGGTTCTTCATTAATCCCAGCTTCAAAACTAATCCGGAAGTTAGTGAATGAAGCACTCGCTTCATGGTCCTCTTACCTCTGGAGCAGACGAAGTCCCTGCAGAGAGCCCTTCCCTGCTCCTGCTGGCGTGGTTCCTTCTCCACATAGGTGATACCCATGGGTTCCAGCTCTCATGGCTATCTTTCCTAAAGCTTTTCTTCTTGCCTAAAACCGGGTCGCCCCGTGCTTGCACTCACGTTGAGTGCCAGCTGGGGTGGGAAGAGGAGAACCACACAGGGGACCGAAGGGAAGGAAATGGTAATAAACCCTCCCAGTGCCTTGAATATTCAAGATTAGAGAAGTGAGAAGAAAAATCCTGCCTCAAATAAGCAATTAATTGAAATTTAATAAGAATGGATAGTGTAGATTATTAAATAATAATTGATGGTTAGATGAGAATTTTCAGGATTTAAGCAGCATGCAAGAGATAAATCTAGTTGCTATTAATTAACTGTGGAATAGAAAAATACAGATAAAGGGGTGCTTATGTGCTTCTTTTGGAGTAAATTTTACATTAACTCTCACTTGTGGCTGCTGGCACAGCCTGGCAGACCTTGCTGGGGACAGTTGGGGAAGGGGGAGATGTTTCTGGAGAGCTGCAGAAGCCCCTGTGAGTGTATCTGAGAGACCTCATATTAAATTTGGTCAAAATGGCCAACAGGTTTAAATTTTTTGAGGGAAGAGGAACCCGAGAGGCACGGACAAAGCCACCCTGTGAACCTCATCTCTCCAGGAAACTGGACCCATGCACAGTGGGTTTGACTTCATTCCCAGGACCTTCTCTTCCATATTTTTAACCAAGTATGTGTGACCTGAGCATGACAGTCCTTCTCTGTGCAACGCCGCATTGGCTCATGACTTACCTCAACCAGTACTTCTGCCTGGATCCCGTTGTCCCACCACGCTCCCATGCGAGTGGCACCCATGGAATCAGAGGGAGCATTACGGGACCCCTTCCCAGGAGGCTGCTTTTGCTCCATGAGTGTGCAAGGGAGAGTTCACCCCATCCCTATTCCCTTGCAGATGACTACAAGTCGGAGCTGAGAGAGCAACTGCCTTTGATAGCGGGGTCCGCAGCGGCTGGGGTGGTCTTCATTGTCTCACTGGTGGCCATCTCCATCGTCTGCAGCAGGTGGGTCCCTGTGGGATGTTGTGTCCCTGTGGGATGTTGTGTCCCTGTGGGATGTTGTGTCCCTGGAAGGTGGATGTGGTAAGACATAGGTGGGAGAGATGTGGGGTAAGAAGGGAGGGATGGGAGACCTGGTAGATGGATCGAGCACCAAGCTGTCACTGCTCACCAAGTGCTGCTGTCAGGGGAGTGGTTTGGGGCCACTGCCAGCCACTGGTCCTTCAAGCCTGGATTGTTTTTGATCCCCTTGTCTCCCAGGAAGCGTGCCTACAGCAAGGAGGCGGTGTACAGTGATAAGTTACAGCACTACAGCACCGGGAGAGGTGAGCGGGAGCAAGTGGACTGGGGAAACACTCCTAAACCTGCACCCAGCATGTGCCCCATGCCTCCACCTTCAGAAGTGTGTGACGGGGGATGAAAGCCCCATGGGGCAGATGGAGAGGGACATAGGGTGGGAGTAGAGATGTTCACTACTGTGTGTTGGGATGTCTGGGGGGATTTTACAGTGGTGCAGCATTGAGGGTGGAAAGAGGGATGGG